CATTCCTTAAGACTCATTGACTTGCATTCTTTACTCCTTTTCTCAACCTCTCGCTTCATGCAAATTGACACTCGGTCTAAAAAACGAACACAATCAGATTTTAAGGAAGAGAAGATTTAGTCAGTTCCATACAGCACAGCCAACGTTGTGTTGGACTGTCTGGAGGTTGGTGATCACGTTTTAATGGCATTCTGTTACTCAGGTGTAGATCGCCGGTGAAGGTCACCATCAGAAGTCCTCCTCTAATCCACAAACGGCTGCTGAGCACTACACGCGGATACGCACTCACTAATCCAATTTTCAAATTTTGGTTCAGGGGTCAGACATGATTTGTTATCTGATGAAATGTGAAGTTTTGCCAATTGTAGCGGATACATAGGTGATTGTGATTAATCCACGTAGATGATTTAGAGACAGTAAATTGCGACCCAAACAAAACCCTCCCCACTGGTATGAGTTTTAACTGTCGCTGTCATCAAACCCTCATCACACCATAGGTAAGACCTTGCACAGATGTGGTCGGGGACGCTACAACACAGAGCTAACAGGGGCTGAACTAGTCCCCTTATGACAGAATAATACCCCCGTTTGGGAAACAAGATTTGTGAGAGATCTCCCACCAATTGTGTACAATTAGTTCAATTTGTCACTGGCCTGAATAGTGGTCTTGGACGGCTGTCTGGCAGACGCGTCACTGTCCAACAATATCAGATCAATATCTGAAAAACAGGTTACAAAGACGTTCACGATAATTCTTGTAGTTTATTTGTATACAGTGAGACAGCTAGGATATATAGGGTAGTTTATTGATGACACAACAAGAAGTAATTATATCTCCAATTTATTTTGATTCTGACACTGATTTTAAATCACCTGCAATTAGTGGTTGCGGGTTCGGTAGGGGTGGGGGTGTCGGTATAGGTATAGTTAAGTCAGTGGGGATGGGGTGTCTGTGGGGGTAGGTACTTGTATCAGTGGGGGTAGGGAAGTCAGTGAATGCAGGAGAGACACCAGTAGAGATAGGGACATTGGTAGGGATAAACGGGACGTAGAAGATGGAGAGATACCAGTAGGGGTGTGGTATTGTAGATGGTTCACAGAGGTTAGTGGTCTACAACGGACTGGAGACCCTCCTTTTTGTTCATTTTATCTTGTTAGATTATCTGTAAAACGAGATTTTCTGTTAAAAAGAGAAGTGTGTTAGCGCTTGAGTGAAGAGATATTATTGTACCCGTGTTGTAAGGGTAGCGGATGTGAGGTGTCGTGTGGCGATCACATTGATAGCTGCTCATACGCAATCCCTCAGTACATTCACGCGTCTCACACTCTGACCCGACGACAACCGTAAATAAGTACACAAACCACACACTGTCCTCTTGTTTATGAAGACAGAGCAAAGAAATTGCTTATTCTTACCTTTAATTCTCAGTACATTATAATAAAAATCTTTGTGTAACAGAACATTGATATAAGAATTGTTCACATTTCTGTGGTAAGTAATGTTATTTGTCCATATATTTCTATTAAATGTCTGAGTCAGTTTTGTTATTATGATGTTTGCTAAACTTGTGGATACAAAAATTCGTTGAGATCAGATATGATCTATAGATACTGATAAAATATTAAATATGCTGCGATGAGATGACATATTCAAAGAAAAATCCATTACTTTGGATTGTAGTTTTTAATGGAGTCTAGATTGATTAAAATTATCTGGTATTTATATTAACACATTATTGGTAAATACATGCTACAGTGATTTGTTATTTAAAGTGGCAGATTTATCATCGTGTACAAACAAGTTCTGTTTTTATCTCCTTCGGTGATAAATTAAAGCTGCTAGTATTCAAAACCATATTGTCCAATTAGAGTGGAATAGTCCCATATCTTATTTTAATTTGTTTTTATTTTGCTTTCAAAGACACAATGTAACTAAAATAGAACAATAAAAGTTTGAACATGTTTTAATCATTGTTATGTGTACATGTTTACATGTCTGCCACAAATTCAACGTTATAGTTATTTCCCTGCGACGGAGATGTCTGGTCGTCAGTTCGTGAGAAAAGCGTACTTTCTATGTACAACGTACTTCAATATTGATGAGTTTTTTAGGTCATAGACATCATTTCAATAGGTGTTACAAGTAAAAAAAGAATTCTTTTCAACTGGGACTGTACTCTGTCAAGTATTTAAGAGTTTAGCTTGTAAAGTTTGAATTTATTATCTCAGCTGGGTGCAGTGTAAACTTTGAGGTAAACACACACGTAACACACCATGTTCTTCTGTTAGATCTGGTCTGTATTTATAGACTGAGAAATCCACAGATTGTTCAATAATAAATTCTTTTATTCACTTTCATTTTTATATGCTAATAAAAGTTATCATATTTATATATCAGATGTTAAAAAAAAAAATGAACTCAATTGCATTACAAATTGTAGAAATAATGAACTCCAGGAAATGGGTATGTAGGAAAAGAGAGGAGTTTATCAATTTGTCCCAGTATATTAAAGCATAAATGAGGTGATTTATTCTGTGTTTATTATAAATCTTGTCCAGACTGACAGTACAGTGTAGAACTATAATACATATCAGACATAGTTGTCACACAGCGGTGTTCACTTCAGTTTTACTGATAAAAGTCTATACCACCACTAATACACTGTGGATGTTAGTGAGACATTGTACACAGGTATGTTATCTACTTTTGAATCGATATTTTCCAATTTCTTTGTTTTCTGACTATATATATTGTATTGGGGATAACAGCTGTTTGTCAGAGTTTGAAGTTGTTTGTCTATTTGTAGAGAGTTTGAAGTTGTTTCATCCTCGTGTGATATGTGTTTCTTTGCTCTAAGGATTAAATCTAGTCAATTAATTAAATTTTAAAAACTAAACCTGGTGATTGTTTGCAGTTTAAAACACATTAGGCCAGGTATGTTGACTTGCTGTCATGTGATAGGTTTACCGAGTAAACACAGGGACCGGCTACACAAACACACTCTCGGACCAACGTCGCATCATACAAAACATTGTCTCGTTATTACTGGGAATTAAATTAGATGAGTAATGTAGTTTTTAAAACAACATCCTATCTGGGGAGAAGTTTTAACCTGAATTGGGCTGTTAAGTGACACTTTGAGCAGCAGTCAGCTCCCCTGAGTAGTAAAGGTAGACCTAAGCTGGTTTTTATTTATAATCAGTCTTTGTGTGAAAGTATCTGATCATGTGTAGACTTTGTGACTATATATCTTGATTACTGGCATTGTTAAAGGAGCATTTCGTACTCGCTCGTTATTGACAGGTGGAGAGGGAGGTCTTGGCACTAAGTGAACCCCACCCCACCTCTCAGTATATGTGCATGAACACTGTTCAGCCCCACCCCGGGGAGCTACAATACCTGACCACTTACCTGTAATCAAGACCCAAATTGTCAGTAACAAGCTGATTACGAGCACCCTGTAGATCAGAGCTATGTTAACATATGTCTGTCATCTGTCAGCAGGGAAATTATCTCAATCAGACACTATATCATATATAATGTTTACCTATATATACTTTCTTGCTTTAACTTTCACATATCTACACACTACGGAATTTACATACAATACAATAGGTAATATCTTGCCCATATCAGTGTGTTTTCAATAGGTGTTGTAAGAAATTTTATAGTATCTTGACAAACAAGTTGGTCAGGTAAATGGTTTTATAGTATTTTGACAAACAAGTTGGTCAGGTAAATGGTTTTGAATTCCCTGTAGCAAGGTTACAACACCTTAAAATCAATTATATGATTAATCCTCACACAAAATAACGTTTAAAGCCTCTCCCCGACATATTTTTTCCTATTACTTTTTTGTTAAGTATTTTAAGACACTGTATTAGAGTTAATTGATTTAAGTAAACATTTGCATAAGGTATAAAAGTGAATCAATTTTCTTTTAATAAAAATATAAGTAAAATTTTATTTAATATAAGGATAAATANCCTCCTCCACAGTTATAACATTGTATTATTGTAATATTTTGTTAACTTTGGAAATAAATAAAAAAATGTATAAAAGAATTCATTAATATGTCTGTTGACCTGCTGGCTACAGCTAACGGTGATACTTTACTTGTAGTTGAAATGAACACTAATCACCTATAAAGACAGTCATTGTTGGTTAGAAATGTTACTCCGGTTCAACATTTTTCTGCGGGATGATTTGTCACGAGCAGGGTTTGATATCATCAGTTTAGGCTACTTTTACACTACAAGCTAGAGTTAAAGTTTCCAACCTATGAAATCAATATATATGATCAGTAATGGTGATCATAATGTCAAAAAAAATTAAAAAAATATATATATATCAAAGGTAGTTTAGGAGGGGTCTAGACATATTAGTAAAGGGTAAGACTGTTTCCTAATAAAATAAGAAACCATTAGTAAATTAGTTAAATACATTGCAAAAAGACACAAATATTGATTGTAGACTTTTCCCAGTTTTGTGATCAGCTGAGTGAGTTTGTCACCCTAGTGATGTGTTTAGGTTACCTATTAGGAACCTTGGCTGATAGTTGGTGGTCACGTGTAGAGTAGCTGTGTAACAAGGTGTGCCAATCACCTGCTAATTACCAGGTAAATATTGCCTTGTGTCCATAGGGCACTCACTGCCCACTGGTCAGTCTTAGGCTGTGATTGGCTTGTGTCTGAACACTATAACCAATCAGGTGTGACCTGTGTGTTCAATGAAGCGTGTGGCCCTGTGCTGGCAGTTTTTTGTGATATTGTTTGGTGCAGTGTGAAAGTGTGCATGAAAGGCATGCTGACTGTAGGACAGGTGAGACACCCCTCAGAACATGTGTCAATATTGGATCTGTAGTCGATAGTGCTTCAGGTTTCTCAACATTCTATTTTATGAACATGACATATTTTACTTGCTAATACATAATGTCAATAATCTCCACATTTCTCACCTTGTTTGCTATTACTAATCAGCCAATGCTCTCTACTTACAGGTTTGGTCAGGAATGTGGAGCACATTTTGAAAAGCAACTGTAACAAAATATGTAGACGTTATTGAACAAGATTGGACCTCTCTCTGGAATAGTGTATTTGTGGTGTCTGTATACTTTCGTAGCATTATCTGTGTGTGGTATTTATGATTTTCGTTGGATTATATATAATATGAAATATGGGAGCACCTATACGTCAGCTGTTTCTCCTTCTTACCCTGGATCTATACTCTCAGATGACCGATGCCCAGCAATCCGTTCTTAAGTACAAGTTACGGGAAGAACAATCCAAGGAAACTTTTGTCGGAAATGTGGCACGTGATAGTCTTTTATATGGAAATGTAACGGAACAAGAGTTTAGCCGAATGAGATTTCAGATTCTTACACAAGGTAACCATGATGCTTCAAATTTTCAAATAAACGAGACATCAAGCTCTTTATTGACGAAGGTGGTGCTGGACAGAGAAACACTTTGTCCTGATGAGGTGGCATGTATTCTGGAATTTAATGTGGCCGTGTACAAACAGCTCGGCACCAACCAGCTCGACCTCCACCAGATCATCCCAATACAGGTCACTGTAGACGACGTCAACGATAACTCGCCAGTGTTCCCCGCATCAGAGGTGGCCTTGACCGTGTCAGAAGGTGTTCAAGTAGGTCACGTCATACTGACCTCTGGGGCTATTGACCGTGACACTGGCCAGAACAACTCTATACAGTCTTACGAACTTGTGCCATCCAACGAAATGTTCGGTCTTATTCAAGCTTCAGATTTGGGTGGAGGCAGTGACATTGGATTGAAAGTTCGCTTTAAATTAGATCGAGAAACACGTGACTTTTATGAATTAAAAGTAATAGCAAGTGATCGTGGGTTCCCCGTTCGCACAGGAAGTGTTAAAATCAACATTACTGTTACAGACTTCAATGACAATAGCCCAGCATTCTCACGTGCTAACTACAGTACCACCATTCCGGAGAACAAGGCTGTTGGATCCACCATTCTCATCGTGTCTGCTACCGATTTTGACACTGCCAACAATGCCAAGCTCACTTACTCCTTCAGCTCGCGTGTGTCACAGAAAGTACAGCACAAGTTTTCCATCAATTCTACATCAGGTCAGATTTCTGTGATTGCACCCCTCGACTATGAGCAGGACACCCAGTACCAGTTTCAGGTGGTTGTAAGAGACCAAGGTCAGCCACCATTATCGGCGTCTGCCAGCGTTACCGTTGATATACAAGACCTCAACGACAATGCACCACAAATCAACATCAACCTATCACCAGCCGGCACTGACATCTCGGAGGCCGCTGCTGTTGGTCAGTATGTGGCTAGTGTTGCTGTGTCTGATCGTGACAGTAAGGCTAACGGAAACGCACGATGTCAAGTCATGGGCAACAACTTCAGACTGGAGGAGATTTATACTAATATGTACAAGATTCTCATCCAAAACAAGCTTGATTATGAAACGGATAAGTTCCATAATGTTACAGTGAATTGTCAGGACCAGGGTGTACCTCAGCAACAGAATACCACCAGCTTCTTCATCCGTGTCCAGGACGTTAATGACAATGCACCAGAATTTACTAAAACAAAGTACCAGGTGACCATGCAGGAGTCTAACGACCCTGGGGCTTACGTGAAGGAGGTGATCGCTACAGACAAGGATAGTGGTAACAACGGGCGTGTGTCCTACTCCCTTGAGCCCGACGGTCAGTCCTTCTTCTCCATCGACCCCACTATGGGGACTATATCTGCGATTGTGTCCCTTGATCGTGAGTTACGGCCAGTAATTCGGTTCCATGTGACAGCCACTGACCAAGGAGACCCCCAGCTCAGCTCCTCTACAGTAGTCGAGGTCATACTAGGTGATATCAACGACAATACACCCACGTTTACGCAACAAAAATTCCACTTCCATGTGCTGGAAAACCAGGACCGTGGGCCCAAGGTCGGCACACTGACAGCTGAGGATCAAGATGCTGGTGCCAATAGCCAGTTTAGTTTTGATTTCGTGCCGCCCATTCCAGCTGATTTTCGGCTAAACCAGGATACTGGTGTCATTACGGGGTACACAAAACTGGACCGCGAGTTACAGAAGATGTACAATTTCACGGTGATGGTAACAGACAAGGGTACGCCCCGTCGGTACAGCACAGCCCAGGTCACTGTCGAAGTCGAAGATGACAACGACAACATCCCAGTCATTGTTCACCCCAACAACTTCAACAACACTGTGTACCTCCCGTACACTGTAAATGCAGGTACACTGATCAGTCAGGTTGAGGCGTATGATATTGATGATGGGGATAATTCACGTCTTCGTTACTACATCGACACAATCGACCCACCAAACTCTGGTGATGTGTTTAGTATGGGGCTTTTTAGTGGTAGCCTAGTCGTAGCCCGAAAGTTACAGCTCTACGACGCAGACTCTTACCGACTTGTATTGTCAGTCAAAGATGGTGGACTCAATGAGCTTAAATCTTACACAAATCTTAACGTGATCATCACCGTTAGTAACAACACTGTGTTACCAGTACCTGGTAACGATGACACTGGAATGAACATTATAATTGTCGTCATCATTGTCGTCGTTACAGTCGTGTTGTCTATAGCTATCGTCGTCACTATCATAATCATACGCAGGATTGACGGAAGTCGCCAGGAAAACAACAATCATGCAAAAAACGAGGCACAAAAGATAATAGCAGCTACTGCTAAAATGCATGAGACTATGTCTACAGACTCTTCAAACAATTCGGATGATCCGTTAAAAAAGAAAAATAAGAAAGAAGTGAGTTTTTCTCTCAGTGATGAAACAGACTCTATTAACACTTCTACATTGACAAATTTAACGACATTTTCAACTTTTAAAAATCCACCGTCAACTTTAGATGGAAGTAAATCGCTGGAGGTATGTATACATGTGTTATTTTATAAAAGTACAGGATAAAGACATTTTTTTATTTTTTTTATTTATGGTTGGTTAATAGAAAAAATACATTTCACTCAATATTAAATCAGCCAACATACTATGTGTTGTCAAAGATTTGTGGACAGAGAAGTGACAGAAGATATTAGCAGTGTAAATATAGTGTGCATGTCCTTTCTTTGACGTAGGTCAATTTTGGTCAACTGTTTAGGATATAGAAACCCTCTAACAAACACCTGAGATTGATCACTCAGCCACTAGCATGGACACTAAACTGGTCATCAGCAAAACATTGACCTCATCATTGGTCAAGCTGTAAAACTCCTAGGTACTTTATAAAGATGTATATGGAATAAGGATAAGTCTGAGGATGGACACCTCAGTCATGTTATCACATAGTCAGATGTATCAAGATGTCTATAAACATTTACAGAACAGGTTAAGAAAAAACCCATCATTATTGAAGCTCTGCCACAAAACTCAGGTTATAGATAAAAAGTTGTATTGGAAAACTTGAATGAAAAGTCGTTAATTTATTCTAAAAAAAACAAGTTATAGAAAAGGGAAAAAATTCTGGACACATCAGTATACCTAGATTGTTGAGCTCACAGAAAAACCCATCAAATCTGTTGTCAGGCTTCAAAAATATGCAGCCGCCAGGAATATCTCAATTGCTTTTCTCAGTAGATTCATGTAAAAAATTCCAGACATTTCACTTGAAGCTATTTTTAAGGAATTCTAAATTACGTGTGGGGGACACTGTGATGGTGTACAAAACTTACTGATTTGGTTTGTTAATTCGAAAAGAAGAATAAACAAGTAAGGCAACTGAATTTAACTTCTTGTGCAATCTACATATATATTTGCATATATCCGGGAATTTTTTCTCGTTTCTGAATACATTAAAAACAGTAATTACTTCATTCCAGTTTACATCCCTTTACAGAGATATTATGTCTATAAAGGGGGGATAACCTTGATTTTGTGAGACGGCATCCCAGTAACTGTACAGGAAGTGGTGTCGTCGTTTTGTACTTCAGGCTCTTACACAACTAGTGTTAGGCTAGGTGTCTCTAGGATCACATACAATTTACTTAGAGTTCAGGCCTCAGCTTCCTTGCTAGGTACAGTTTCTGGGGAGATTAAATGTTTCTTTCTTTTTTCGGAACATTTTGTCTCTGAACCAGAAAGTCGGTCATTATAACAATATACCAGGTAAGATGGCTTGGAATGACTCCAAAGTGCTTTTTAATCTGTTAAACATACAACCAACTTGCCGTAGGCTTGGTTCGTGTACTGGTAATACCAGACATTCTTACTGTGTCCAACTCACTAACTGACTTTATATTCTTAATAAACAAGCAAAAAACACCTCAAATTGGCCATCAGTGGCTGGTGGTTCTATCCAAAAACACAATAGCTCTTTTGGCCTTTCATTCCTGTCAATTTAATATGTTACCATGGAATTGTGTTTGTCGGTTTAATATGTTGCTGGGGAAATGTTGGTGCGATGAAATGGAATAATAAAATGGCTAACATCCAAAAATGTCTTTTTGAAACATAAAACCTATCCAAACTAAAATAGTAGTACAAAATAACTGCAGATTAAATATACTTTTCCTTCCGTTACTTCCCTGGTATATGTAAAAGGTTTTTTCATGCCCATTTTTGAGTTTTTCTTACTGATTAAGACCCTTTGAGAGCTTCATTGGGGTTTTTTCCCCCTGTGCAACAATACAGTGATTGAGTTCTTTTTCTGTAAAGAAACCAGATCCTGGAACAGAAAAAACTCTTGCGTGACTAGCTTGTTTTACACAGTCATTAAGATCCAGGAACAGAAAAAAACGTCTTCCATGTCGGTTTTAGTGTGGCATGTCTACCGGACCTAGTTTAGTGGCACTTTGTCTGGCGGCGACCACGGACAGAATAAATGTACAGGACCGTACATAACTAGAACCCACGTAGGAATCTGGTCCATTATTGATGAAGCTGCCCACCATAAATCTACATAGATTATCCAATTATTGGAGGGCCCTGTAAATATTTCATCACCCAACCCTCTGCTTGCCCAAGTGATTACCTGTAAATAAAGGCCGGGGTATCCACATCTAAAGTGGCCGAGCTGTCCGTGAGGCAGACACTTCAGTCATATTTAAATATTCATGAAAATCGTTATTAACTGACTAAACAGGTTTTACGAAATGCATTTGTATCTGTTTTCCCACATTTAAAAAAGACATCACAATTTTTTTTAAAGCAAATGACATTATAATTACAGTTAAATTTCCTTTTTTTGTATTTTATGAGTTATTGAGTTACTGAGCTATTTGGACTGGATAATTTAGAATTTTTAAATTTGCAGCAATTTAGGTCATTACATTTCGTTTTAAAATTTGACTACATGTATATATATATATACACAAAATACCTGACAATGTATTCGTAGATCTCAATTTTCAGAAAATTCAAAATATTAAAGGACCATTCTAAAATAAACACCCATTAGTATAGCTATACACACACGAAACAATACTCATATTTTATCTTAAAATTATCCATTTATCCAGCAAAACATTGGTGTTTTATCAAGGGGGATGTCTACATATTAAGGGATTTGTAAAAGAATTGCTGAGAAAAAAGACAAAGGGGGGGGGGGGGGGGGGGGGGGTGGGAGCATTGAGTTTGTTGTTACACTTACCTCCCCAGACAAGTGTACGTCAGTGGTCAGTGGTCAGTCTCTGCCCTCAAGATTCTGTCACATTTTATTGTTGCAGAACAATAATTATTAAAATTAGAATGAAATGAAGAAATAATTTTACTCAGTTATGGAGTACCTTGTATGTGTTATTTTAAAGTCGTCGGACAATTTGTACCTGTACAGGATAAATCTGACCGTGTGTTTTATTTGTGTCTGTTACAGAAACCACAAGCGTCCAGTTCACTGCTGACTGCTAGCAATCTCCAAGCGTCAGACGACAGTTACGACAAAAAATATGATCTGAGTAATGATAGTTACGACAGAAAATATGATATAAGTCGATTGTACAGTCCAAATCACCTTCACCCCCAGTCTCCTAGTCAAGAAACAAGATGGCTACAACAACTGAAGCAAGATGAGGTAAGACCAACTTTGTACAGTATTTCTAGGTGTTAGTCTTTATCATTAATTATACAGATTATTGAGGAGTTCTGATATTCTGGCCATGCACCTACGTCCCGAGCAAGAGTGTGGGGGGATTGTTAAAATTGTTCGTAATGAAATTTGTGTTTTAAGATGTCTTTTTTTTCCCAATATTTTAATTCAAAGAAAACATTTAAATAACTTAAAACAAATAGATTTCATATTGTTTGGATGGAAATAAACACTAATTGTCTTGAAAGATACATAACTTCAGGACAAAGCTGCAAGATTACAAAGTCTGTGCCCTTATACTCCTAGATATATAAGTACTTCTCGTCTTCAGGAGGTAAGCTTACGGACCCGGACCCGTACCAAGGTACTGTTGTGTCTATGTGAACACACCCCTCCACAACAGCTGTAAATGTGTACAGCCACGCCCCCTCTTTAACACCCATACATGTGAATGTCAACAAAAACAGCCAACACTAACTCTGTATTAAAAAATCGTTTATCAAATAAGACGGAAATATTAAGACTCTTTCAGTATATTTGTTTCCTTTTTATATACGAAGTCTGAGAATCAACATTGAAGCTTGTCTGTTTAATCCCCATTCATTAGAGAAAATCTAACTGGGGGCTGTTTTTTCTGCGAATCATCCCCAAACATTACAACTCGGGCTTGAATTTTAACCAAGAGGTCTTTAATTATAGAGCTTGTATGTCCTTTGTTATGTTGATGTCGGACCCGAATTAGCATTGTTTGGTGTTCACACTCAAACACTGCTTATTCTTACAGGGGAGGTTTTCTTTCCCAACGTATTTTAACAATTTTATAATTTCTCTATCCGATGAAACATCCCCCATTTACTCCTTTAACCAAATACAATCATATAGCCCAACCCTAAATCTAGTCGACTTGTGCTCTACAACAGGTGAAAGGTATGTCCCCCCCCCCAGGTAGGAACAGAGCTATGATGGATCAGAGCGAGGGGACGGATGGATACGTCGAAGTAGCCAGCGGTTAATTCTTACGGAAGAATGAATCTGTAAAAGTAACAAGGCTAGATGGGGCTAATTCAAGCAACATGCGTGAAATTTAAATGGTCACCAATTTGTTTGAAGTACCTCGGACAGCAGACAGCTATTGATTGAAATATGAATTTTGAATTGATGAGGCACATCAAGAGGTCAAACATGCTATCATGAGGCTAATTTGTAAATTAAGAGGGGCAATTTGAAGATTTATTTAAAATTTTGTTTAAGATAACATAGCTATGTTTCGATTGGTTACTGTAGTCACACAATCAGCCCTCCAGACCACGACATATGTCCGAGGCCATTGGTCAACAGTGTTTTGTTGGTCGAGGGCATTCGATTCGGACACTATATGCTTTTTGTATAGAGGAATGGTCTATATAAATTATCAGATACAATGTAGAAAACGTCACCATTCTTTCAATCATACTTATTTACCAGTAAATCTTATACAAGTATTATTGTAGTGTGAAATATTAATGAGTGATAGAGTAAAACCTTGTTATAAAATGTTTTGACAATATTAAAGAGTTTGCTATTATTTCAGTGGAGTTTTGTAAAGGATTTGTTTAGAAAAACACAAAGGGTGACATTGAAATAGGGTGACTGTAACTCCGGTGCTGAACACAACAAGGGAATTACCTGTCAGTTTTACTGAAATGTAAATCATATTACTGAAATCTAAATATATTGGTCAAAAATGAAATCTAGAAGGAAATCCTAATTTCAGTGAGAATCAATGAATGAAATTAATATTGATTTAATAACAAAGTGAATTATGAAATCTTGATATCAGTTCAGAATAAAATATTTCGTACAATGTATTTAAGTAAGTACTAAACCCTGACAGAGGCTAAATCAAGGTGTCACAGGAACGATTCCTTTCTGGGAACTTACACAACAGAAATGTGAGAATATGTGTATTTTAATTCTGAAGACCGTAAACAACATGTATGTTTATTCCTTCAAACGTGTAGATGGTGGTAGTTATTTTGATGTGTCATTACAGGCAAACCATATCCGGGACATGTTAAAGAAGGGTGAGGACGCAGGCAGTGAGATGTCTGCCGAGTCGGCTACCAGTGACAGTGGGCGGGGCGGGAGTGAGGAGGACGTTCACAGTAACCGGGGACATGCCTTCTCTGACAATGGTAAGCACGGGCAGACACAGCGCCTTATATCACCATCACCACCTTATCACCATCCTTTATCACCATCACCATACATATCACTATCACAATCATCACAGTGATGCTTATTTAATCACGACAATGATCACCATGGTGATACTCGGTCTTCTATCATCCATGTTGATACTCGATCTTCTATCATCACCATGGTGAAACTTCTTCCATCACTATCACCATCACCACTTTATCAAATTTCCACACAGTGTTAACCACCATCACTATATGTACAGTAAACAACATTTCATCAACATCAAACCCGGACATATTGTTTGGTCTCTATACAGTCTAACTACCAATCATAACTTACTGGCTGTTCACTCTATACAGTCGTACCCACCATTCATATCTTACTGGCTGTTCACTCTATACAGTCTTACCCACCATTCATAACTTACTTGCTGTTCACTCTAGACAGTCTAACTCCCAATCATAACTTACTTGCTGTTCACTCTAGACAGTCTAACTCCCAATCATAACTTACTGGCTGTTCCCTCTATACAGTCTAACTACCAACCATAACTTACTGGCTGTTCACTCTATACAGTCTTACCCACCATTCATAACTTACTTGCTGTTCACTCTAGACAGTCTAACTCCCAATCATAACTTACTGGCTGTTCACTCTATAAAGTCTGCCCACCATTCATAACTTACTGGCTGTTTACTCTATACAGTCGTACCCACCATTCATATCTTACTGGCTGTTCACTCTATAAAGTCGTACCCCCCATTCATAACTTACTGGCTGTTCCCTCTATACAGTCTACCCACCATTCATAACTTACTGGCTGTTCACTCTATTAAGTGCTTTATTTTTTTCCGGTTTTTGAACTCGCAAATCTTCACCAAAATGACCGTGTAGGTGAGAATATGATTGATACTGTCAAAATAATATCATCATTATTATCACATTCCTCCTATCCTTCATCACTATACTCATCATTATTTCCTTCTTTATTACCGGTAGTTACTTGCCTTTCTTGACCCTTTTTATGAAGAGATATTTTAATACTATAGCCTCGGGCCATCCTACCTGATCCCTTTTACTTCATTCCTTATAGCTGGTTCACCAGCTCTCAACCATGGTTGATAGTCGATTGGCTGATTCTAGACCAGCTTTCAGCCATTGTTGATAGCCGATTGGCTGATTCTAGACCAGCTCTCAGCCATGGTTGATAGTCGATTGGCTGATTCTAGACCAGCTCTCAACCATGGTTGATAGTCGATTGGCTGATTCAAGCTTTTTACTCAAGATACTCCTTAAGTAAATGTCTTTTTACTAGCGTTGAGGAAGATAAGAATTAAACCATAAACTACACATCAAATCACCAGTTATTATGCAAACCACTTAAAAAAATACTGTATCAACATTTTAAATCGATTTTTTTACCTGAAAAGAGCCCCATCAATAAAGGATAATGGTTTCTAAACTTGATACTTGTACAAATAGGGTTGGGTCTGAAGCCTGGACATAGACTAGCAGCTGTTACTTCAGGCTAGCCTTTATTGGGGGACGATGTATGTAGACAGGTAGATTTACAGGTAGACGATTGGGTACACCTCACCTGTCTACAGTTACAGTATATCATACCAACATAAAAACTCATACTAATCTTATCTGGTAATCACTTCATTGGATAAATCTTACTTCATCTTTATTAGAATTGTCTGAAAATATTAAAATAAATATTCTAGTTGTCAAGTATCGAATCTCTAATTATATGTAACTTTTGATAGTATTACAGACCCTTATTTTACCATAAAGGTAAACATACCAAACATGAGGTGGACAGGGTAAACTGTTGTATAATCTTTATGACAGAAGTATAGAAAGCCTCAAAAGGCTTGGAGTCTGGATTGAAAGAAGTCCTAGTGACACTTTTTTCGCCTCAATAAAATCTCTCCAAACTTTACAGTGACTCTGTAGGGAAGTTAGAAATAGGTTTGTGACTTTGAAGGAGTGTGGAGAACTTCGTGGGAGCTAGCGGTGGTGTACCTGGAGTACCTGTAACAAGCTTCACTCAAGTCAACAAGATATTTGTCACCTTTGGGCTGAGCCTGCTGTGTTGTATAGGTTGAACACAGCGAGAGGTTGAGGAGAGGGTGAGCGGTGATAATGCTGTACCACTGATGGTGTAACTACACTCTGTTATCTGGTCGGCACTACTGATACATGTCGAAACGCTACCTCCCTATCTTGTCACTAAGGCAGAAAGTCTAATACTTTGTCCAATCAACAACTAATGATCATCCAATAGAACTACACATCAGGGGACAGCCTGGCTAACACACACAAGTAGTGGGACATAGTTGGGACGCGACTCTGCTAAGGCTGATACATTGTCCTTAGTTCTGGGAGGGTGAGGAACTCCAGTAAAGCCCCAAGGCCACAGGAAATTCCTGTAACAAGGCCACCAGAAATTCCCAGTAAGCCTAATAGATTACTGCCCTCTGAAGTTTGATCTCCGATGCTTGCTTAGCTAGGAGAGTTCTAACGATCCCCTATCTGTTCTGCCATAGCTGGGAGACAAGTCATGCTCCCAACTATGTTGTGGTCCTTACACATCCCTACAGAAATGGTTCCTAAATCTCCATGGAAACCACCCCTATTAGGGGTATATTGGTGGGAATAACTCACACACACTCTATCAAGTAAATCCCTCTAGATCCAACCCCACAATTTACAAACAAATACTGGCATTAACCTTGTTCTCATTGCTGAGATGTTTAGATAATGTGTGACGCTGTGTTCAAAGTCTTACGGAAACAGCAGATTTATTATACAAATACATGTATTGGAGTTATGATACAAATATTTATGTTTTAAAAAATTTCAACCAAATCTTTTGTTTTCTCCCCAGTGGTATTGTACCAATGCTATGTATAGCTATAAATGTTTGGATTGTTATAGCTCGGTAAGTGGGGCATGTCTCCCTCCCCTGCATGGAGTGCAACCTCATCACTATGACAATTATTGTTAATGAAATTGTTTGTTGATCCAAACATGTGAAGCACCTAGACTAAACAGGCTGTACCATAGGTCATGTGAATGTTTGACAGACAATTAGTAATGTGATGACTGTTTTCCCATTCCTCAAATAAATGCATATTTGCTGTCAATGGGAATGTATATGATTGCATATTTAAGCATATTGAAAATTTATTTTTATTTTCTTTTTCTTTAATTTCTTAATACACTTTTTAGCCCACCATCATCTGATGGTGGGCTATTCAAATCACCCTGCGTCCGTGGTCCGTCATCCGTCGTCCGTCCGTTAACAATTCTTTGTTATCTCTTTTTCTCAAGAAGTACCAGAGGGATCTTTCTCCAATTTTATATGTAAGGTTCCCCTTGGTCCTCAGCTGTGCAGGGTAACTTTTGAGACTGATCGGATACACAACATGGCCGACAGGCAGCCATCTTGGATTTTGANCTCGTTGTGTATGTTATATTTTGAGACTGATCATAAAAACAAAATGGATTAAAAGAAGAACTAAACAGATCTTTCTCATATTGCAATGATCGATTCTATTTCTTTCACATTAAGTACTGTACTAGTAAATATGTGAAATGACAAACTCACTTTGAAGGTTGGCTTTCATACACATCAGTATTAAGTTTAGATCAAAAGTTACCTCAAGGTGCATTTACTGTTAACATGACTCAATCAAACAGATTAGAGGAAAGAAGAGAAAAGATCGATCTGACAAAGAACTAATGAAGATGGTTCAAAGGTGGGCGCCAAGATCCCTCTGGGATCTCTTGTTCAAAAATATTTTTATTCTGAAAATTTAATGATGTCTGAAACATTTAAAAAATCTGCTTAACTTATGCATGAGAGATGTGTACCTGGGAGTTTAATGGAATAGTTAGGCTTCCCCTGTTATAGGTGTGTTAATGCCCCTGTGGTAGCTAGGTCGCCTCAGACCCAGGCGTTAGGTTAATTGTTACTAAAAGAACCGACCACTTTACTGTTGTACGTCCATATAACCAGTACTGCACCCTAGATATTGACACACCTGTATTCCTCTCGCCGTCGTCATCAGGTGTGCAGCAGGTGTCAACGTTCTCTCAAGGCATGTGTATTTGTGCATGTTTGTATTGACACGCAGTCGACCAGCTGGAGCTTTGGATGTGTGCTACTCATTAACTAATATCTTTATTGTCATCAAACATACGACAAAGTTATAATAAATATACTATAGAGTTATCGTGAAAATCTACAAAGTAATACATGTATTGGAACACATGGCACCATTGCTATGATTATGAAAAGTGTCACAATGAACTTAAAGTTAGTTGAACACGTACCAGTACTGGGTATATAGCAAAGATTTTCCATCACATAATACTTATTATGAAAACGATAAAAGTTGATATTAATAAATGTTTACTGCCAGTGAGTCCAGTGGATCCTAGTTCATCTAGTTTCCAACCATTTCTCAAAAACGAACTTTCTGAACACATCAAATCAGGAAATTAAATTATTTTCATCTAACAAATTCATCATTTGTCATTCCCAAACCATTATTGGAGGGTCTAGTCTAACAATGTTTAACTGTATATGATGTTTTAGTACATTATACGTGTTTTTATGTATTGTATATAACTTTTATGAATTGAAGAGTAATATTATATGTTTCCTTGTGTTTTACAGAAGAGCCACGCCAAAATATCCAAAGTGATCTGAAGAGCTCAGACTTTTCCCGCCAAAACTCATCTAGACATTCGAATGCATTACATTCCAACTATCAAGATATTCCTGGCAAGGCAGCACCCCCTGGTGATGGTTACCATAGAAACATCAGTTTCAGTGATGACAGTGTCAATGCCAACACGACTGTAGACAGCTGTAAACACCCGGCCAAACATCGGGGTGCAAGTCCCCACAAAAACTTGTCTTCATTTTCGCAATATGGTGGCAGTAGATTTCGTGATCACAGCAATAGATCTCAACTAGACACTCTCAACGAAAGTAGTGCGTTTGGTCTTAATTATTCGTTAGCGGACATCGATGACACAATAAGTGAAAGTGTTGCGACACGTGACGATGATGGCGACAGTACAACAACATCAGGGAGCTACACAATCAACCCTGATGAACTTCGACACGAGATTGATAATCTCTTCTTCAACGATGTCATTGTATGATTTTAGTGAAATGACTTAGTGAAGTTTCAAAAGTGCCAAAATATTGCCCCTAACCCAATAACTCCCTGTCTCAAAATCATACTTAGATTTGTAGCTCCTTTCAGAATGTGTCGGCCATTTGTATTACCATGGTGACTTGTCCTACCTTGTTTGGTGCTGTATGAAAGAGGTGATTGTAAGATTCCTAGAAATGTTATTTTCTTCTACGCTGCAGAATTACCTGTGGTAACTATAGAGATGGAATTTCATGAATCGTTTTTACTGATGAGGAGTTTGAAACCTCTTGGTTCCTACACAGAACAACTCCAACCACCTCCGACCTTATACTTACAATCTTTAGTGGTCATACAGCTCCCTAAAACTCGCCAAAAGTGCTATAAATGAACAAAATGTTTGTAAAATAATTTAATCCATCACAAATTGTTAGATAATAATTCATTCATAGATGTTTTGTTCTTTCTGTGAGGAACATTAAGTGAAGTGGTAACTAAGCATCCATTTCGCTTCCATTGGAAGTACTCTGTCCTTGTAGAGGGACTTTGTCCTTGTAGAGAGTTAGATGTTTGTTATTATAGTCCCATATTGCCATGAAACAAAATCAGAAATATAAACAGTATGTGCTATAGTCGTCCTATCCTAAACTTCCCATCTAGTCAAATAACCATTAACACTGAAAAGTATCGCCTTTACTCTCGCCCGCCTAACTACGAGTATATAACCTACACAGGGTCCTGTGCTGTTTTCTCACCCGTCTAATTACGAGTATAGAACCTACACAGGTTCCTGTGCTGTTCTCTCACTTGTCTAATTACGAGTATAGAACCTACACAGGGTCCTGTGCTGTTCTCTCACCCGTCTAATTACGAGTATAGAACCCACACAGGTTCCTGTGCTGTTGTCTCAATTGTCTAATTACATGTGTAGTAAACCTACACAGGATCCTGTAAGTATAGTGCTATGTTATACCAAGTCAGAAAACCTCATGGAGTCTAGTTATACGAAGTACAGGACAGAAAACCTCATGGAGTCTAGTTATACGAAGTACAGGACAGCAAAGAGCAGTGAAAGATCGGAAAAAGCAGAAAGAAAAAAGAATAAATCATATAATTTCTGCAGATTTTCCTGGAGAAACATCTAAGATAGACATAATTCTCCCTCCTGACATCTAGTTATCCCTATCTAGGCCTGTGTGAGAAAAGTTGATACTATATTTGTAATCCTCAGGGCTTGTAAAGCATCTCACCTGTGACTCGATCACCTGTATAATCTAGTATTTGTTTCCTTACGTGTTTGTCTGTTTATCTGTTTGTCCAATCTTGTTCAGTCCGTTGTTTTTAGTTTTAGACTGATGTTTCTGTCCTAAAATACTTCAATAATAATCTGAGATTATACCCTGAAAAGGCCACCCTACTTTTATTTTGAAATTTGTCTTATGACAGAACTTTTATTCAGTAGCAAGCATTGTCACATATTGTGCTTGTTGTGAAGACTTTTACCTGTAAATGCCTGATTTTGTGAAAATAATCAAAATTTGTCCTAGAATGTGTACAAATGCATGCGTCTGTAAAATAGAGGCAACGAATATATGGTTGCTTGTCATTGAGCGACCGTGTTCTGGCTGTTATGCGCTCGGTGTGATTTTATTAGACACGCCAAGCTGTATTATTAAATACACCCTGTTGTTTTTATACACAATTTATTACTATATTTAATGTATTTTGTTGAATCATTTGTATATATTAAAACTGTGTCCATTGCTGGCATTTTAACATGAACCAAAAGGTGAAAAAATAAATCTAAATATAAAATAGTTGATTTGTTCTTGTTGTTGCTCTAGTACAGACGTCCTCAGTGTTGTTTTGGACCAGTCTGTACAAATAGGCTGCAGTTCAATACTGATATAACAAAAAGGAAATGAAGTTAGATAACTTGGAAACTTGTTTTTTTTTGGCATAATTTTAGGCCCTGAAGGTGTGAAATTGAATACCAACATATTAAAAGAAAACAGTTCCAGAATTCTTAATTAAATCTTGGTAAAAGCATTCCTGTTATCTTTTGTTCGTTCCTTACATTATTTTGATTGAAGTTCAAGGAATTAAATACAACTTGATATCTCATACACTCACCCATTTCAGAAAAGTTATTCTGTCTGATTATTTTATTTAAATAGAATTTTATGTCACAAAAGGAGGTCCCAATACACACAAGTGATAGATCAAAGTCAGACTTTGTTACGTTTCCTGGTACAAAACAATGAGATGGAAAGAACATCCACAAAGTGTCATGTCCTGGAAAAAAGGATGTGAAAATATTCTTCCAAATTATTTTTGGGTTTAATCATTACTGATGAGAATCTGCAATTTAATTCATGTATAGATGACATGTTAAAAATTGACAAAGACAAAAGGAATGGCATTTGTAGTAAAGCGAGATGATTTAGACGTAAATACTCTGAAACCTAATTATCTAAGTGAAAAGTGAGCAACCCTCAGCATGTGTTGACGGAGATGTCAGAATCTCTTCAATTAGAGTTCACTACAATGAAGCAGCTAGACCACTCATTACAACGACTGAGAACAGATATGGCGTCCATAACACAGCTAAGTTTTTACCTACCAAAGACTGACCAGCAGATATGGCGTCCATAACACAGCTAAGTTGTTACCTACCAAAGACTGACAGCAGACATGGCGTCCGTAACACAGCTAAGTTTTTACCTACCAAAGACTGACAGCAGACATGGCGTCCGTAACACAGCTAAGTTTTTACCTACCAAAGTCTGACAGCAGACATGGCGTCCGTAACACAGCTAAGTTTTTACCTACCAAAGTCTGACAGCAGACATGGCGTCCGTAACACAGCAATGTTTTTACCTACCAAAGACTGACAGCAGACATGGCGTCCGTAACACAGCTAAGTTTTTACCTACCAAAGACTGACAGCAGACATGGCGTCCGTAACACAGCTAAGTTTTTACCTACCAAAGACTGACAGCAGACATGGCGTCCGTAACACAGCTAAGTTTTTACCTACCAAAGACTGACAGCAGACATGGCGTCCGTAACACAGCTAAGTTTTTACCTACCAAAGACTGACAGCAGACATGGCGTCCGTAACACAGCTAAGTTTTTACCTACCAAAGACTGACAGCAGACATGGCGTCCGTAACACAGCAATGTTTTTACCTACCAAAGACTGACAGCAGACATGGCGTCCGTAACACAGCAATGTTTTTACCTACCAAAGACTGACAGCAGTCATGGCGTCCGTAACACAGCAATGTTTTTACCTACCAAAGACTGACAGCAGACATGGCGTCCGTAACACAGCAATGTTTTTACCTACCAAAGACTGACAGCAGTCATGGTGTCCGTAACACAGCAATGTTTTTACCTACCAAAGTTTGACAGCAGACATGGCGTCCATAACACAGCAATGTTTTTACCTACCAAAGACTGACAGCAGACATGGCGTCCATAACACAGCAATGTTTTTACCTACCAAAGACTGACAGCAGTCATGGTGTCCTTAACACAGCAATGTTTTTACCTACCAAAGACTGCATGACAGCAGACATGGCATCCGCAACACAGCTAAGTTGTTACCTACCAAAGACTGACAGCAGACATGGCGTCCATAACACAGCTAAGTTTTTACCTACCAAAGACTGACAGCAGATATGGCGTCCATAACACAGCAATGTTTTTACCTACCAAAGACTGACCAGCAGATATGGCGTCCATAACACAGCTAAGTTTTTACCTACCAAGACTGACCAGCAGATATGGCGTCCATAACACAGCTAAGTTGTTACCTACCAAAGACTGACAGCAGATATGGCATCCATAACACAGCTAAGTTTTTACCTACCAAAGACTGACCAGCAGATATGGCGTCCATAAGACAGCTAAGTTGTTACCTACCAAAGACTGACAGCAGACATGGCGTCCCGTAACACAGCTAAGTTTTTACCTACTCTATTAGCGAAGGATTTGTGGGAAGGCAGGAAATGTTGACATCTTTGATACTTGATCTATACGTCCAGGGATTAATTTATTCCCCCCTTAATTCCCACTGCAATAAAATGTCTACATATCACCATTTTGCTGAACTGGTTTCCTGGTGAAGCAGTATTCTCACTATAGCCAAAGATTTGGTCATGATACAACATCAGAAAAGGAAACAGATTGATAAAAGTTTAATAACTTGTTTCTGGATCCTATTTCATGTATGTAATATTCAAATGTTCTGTATGTTGTAATTGCAAATTTATGAAATAAAATATGGTTTATAACATCAGACAATTTTATGAAAAAAAAATGGAATCAAGAATATTGTCTACCAAAGTCATATTTTGAATTTCTTTTATATCAGATTTAGTTGTGATTAATCTCATTTCATAACATTCTGTGCCAATCATCTTAATTGTGATAAAAGTGCCTTATTTGTTACAACTTTGACTGTGATATAAAACTGATATCTTTCCCACTGTGACTGATATCAAAGGGGATACCTGTCACCGAGTGAAAAAATGTTGCTTCTGATATTGACCAATTACCCGGTAACTCATTCACCCCTGAAGACACATTTGAGCTGATCCAAATCAAAGTTTGGAACAGTTCATTATGAAATTCAGGGGTGAATGAGTTAAAACTGTTCTTTCTATTCACTATATTGTACATCTCTGCTACAGAAATACACCATTGACAATATTTTGTAAGCAAACCTGACCTGGTGTTATTGTTTGATCATCCCATTGAAAATGGGGTCAACACAGCATCATCAGTAGATGGTGCCTAAAGCTCAAACTATTATAACCCCAACTGTTTTGATGCAAAACATATTTGTCATTGTAAGTCGTTAAAAATGTAAATATTTGGCAAAATATAGTGAGAGATAAAACACATCTGCATCCTTGATTTAATTAACATACATCTGTTAAAACATTGGGGGTAAAGGGGTCTGGGGCACTTTTGAAATAAATGAAATAATCCTATAGAGACTTGAACCCAGGACCTAGACAGACTGTATACTAACAGGACCTAGACAGAGACTGTATACTATCAGGACCTAGACAGAGACTGTATACTATCAGGACCTAGACAGAGACTATACTACCAGGACCTAGACAGACTGTATACTATCAGGACCTAGACAGAGACTGTATACTATCAGGACCTAGACAGAGACTGTATACTATCAGGACCTAGACAGAGACTGTATACTATCAGGACCTAGACAGAGACTGTATACTATCAGGACCTAGACAGAGACTGTATACTATCAGGACCTAGACAGAGACTGTATACTATCAGGACCTAGACAGAGACTGTATACTATCAGGACCTAGACAGAGACTGTATACTATCAGGACCTAGACAGAGACTGTATACTATCAGGACCTAGACAGAGACTGTATACTATCAGGACCTAGACAGAGACTGTATACTATCAGGACCTAGACAGAGACTGTATACTATCAGGACCTAGACAGAGACTGTATACTATCAGGACCTAGACAGAGACTGTATACTATCAGGACCTAGACAGAGACTGTATACTATCAGGACCTAGACAGAGACTGTATACTATCAGGACCTAGACAGAGACTGTATACTATCAGGACCTAGACAGAGACTGTATACTATCAGGACCTAGACAGAGACTGTATACTATCAGGACCTAGACAGAGACTGTATACTATCAGGACCTAGACAGAGACTGTATACTATCAGGACCTAGACAGAGACTGTATACTATCAGGACCTAGACAGAGACTGTATACTATCAGGACCTAGACAGAGACTGTATACTATCAGGACCTAGACAGAGACTGTATACTATCAGGACCTAGACAGAGACTGTATACTATCAGGACCTAGACAGAGACTGTATACTATCAGGACCTAGACAGACTGTATACTACCAGGACCTAGACAGAGACTGTATACTACCAGGACCTAGACAGAGACTGTACACTATCAGGACCTAGACAGGGACTGTATACTATCAGGACCTAGACAGAGACTGTATACTATCAGGACCTAGACAGACTGTATACTATTAGGACCTAGACAGAGACTGTATACTATCAGGACCTAGACAGAGACTGTATACTACCAGGACCTAGACAGAGACTGTATACTACCAGGACCTAGACAGAGACTGTATACTATCAGGACCTAGACAGAGACTGTATACTATCAACAACACACAGCTTTCCATTACTACTAGTACCTATCAGTGTCTCCGTCCAATTACAGTGTACATCTATTTCATTTGGGTATTTTTTAAAACAGTATTATTTCTATTAACCAACGTTTGAATGAAATCAGTTGTCATCTTGTTTCCTCTTGAAGAATGACAATTGTCCAGTTGGTCAGCTGCATGATTTGGGTTTCATCTGTTTTACTCGCACGGAAACTAATTCCTTTGTTAGACTTGTCCAACTGGTAACTGACCATAGCCAAGAACTGACACTCTGGCCCCTAGTGACCGCTACATCATAGAAATTTCTGACCAGAGTGGTCAGTCAACCCTTTCCACTGGTCAACTGCCAATCACACAGTCTGCTGGAATATGAATTAATAATATCAACTGATTGGTGTCGACCAAAATATCCATGTAAAATCGCCAATAACACCATGTGGTGGCCAGCCAGTTCAAAGTTCACTCTGACGTTGTACATGATAGGGTTCTGATTATCAGTCTTATATAAAATATATAAACATTTGAATATGTTAAAAGAGGTCACGGTGGCCAAGTGGTTAGGGCGTCTGACATTCTGCTACCACTAGCCCTCCACCACTG